TCATTGATTTGCACTTCAGCAATCAGTGACAAATCTTGAACGTGTTCCTTGGATTGCTGCATTCTGCATTGCTGTGTGTGTGCTTCCTCAGTTTGCTTTGCTAAGCATACTAGAATGAATCATGCCTCAATCCTTACATATGTGTATATGTGAGAATAGAAAACTCTCAACCTTCCATAAATGAGAAAGACAATATGCTTTCTTGACATATTTGCTTAATTAACTGTAATGATCATAATTGCAACTGTTGAATGCATGGAAGTCATTTTGTTTTTTGTTTCCTTGAGACCAAAGGGGGCCTATCACTACAGGATAGGTTTATCTGTAAATGACCACAAGTCTAGAGTAATAGTGACTAAAAGTCCATTTTTCTTGTTTCTCTTTAGCAGTGTAAATCAGGGGTCACTCAGGACAAGGCTGTTGTGAAATCCTTGGACCCCAGGATTTTAATTTTTCTATTCCCAAAGACGTTTTTCAGAAGTTGCATATGTTGCCTCAAAGTGTAGCCATCTTGGTAGGCCCAGTCTCACAGAAGGTGGAGGGAAGCAGTCTTTATTCCAAGTGATCATTTCTCAACTAAAAATGAGAAAAGTTAAATAGAGAACAGATAGGAAGGAAAAAATAGAAGTGTCTATTCTAGAATCATGAAAGTACAAGATGTGATATCTGTTCTTAAATTACTCATAATTTCCTCTTTTCCTGGAGTGCCTATGTTCCCTTTTATATAGTAAAACCCTGGTGTGGACGGGGGGCTATTTTTCCCTTTCCTTCAATTATAGTCTACTTTCCCTTTGACATAGATTCTAGTTTCAAGATGCTTAAAATTCATCTTGGACTTCAAATGGCTGTAAGTTCTCACACTCTACTTTCTTTCCCAGCCAGACGCCTCTGTGTGGGGATCAATGGATCTGAGAATAAACGCTCCAAGGCAGCTGGTGAATTGTGTGCCTGGGAGTTTGCTTTACCATTTTTTCTATGACAAAAGACGAATGAAAACGCCTCAAAAATCTCAAGAAGTGAAGAAAGAAACCTAGAGATGACGAGTGGGAGACAGGGGTCTCCATGATAAATATGTCAGCTATTATAATCTAACTTCCATCTCCCAAATCACAGGAGCTAATGTGGACAGCCAATCTGGTTGGGGGTGGAGGCTTTAATGGAAAGACACACACCAGCGGATCTACAGACTTAGCCTTTTCAACCTCAAGTGCACAACTAGCAAACAATTACTATAATATAATTTCCTAAGTTACTGTCCAAATGAATAATGACTGGTTCAGCACCGCATGCAAAGAACAGGTTGCCATGGTTTGAATCCGAATTACTCTTCTCCCCCAGGTTCATGTGCTTGAATGCTTGGCCACAGGGATTGCACTATTAGGAGGTGTGGCCTTACTGGAGGAGGTGTGGCCTTACTGGAGGAGGTGTGGCCTT